CAGAACATTGTTTTGTGCCACTTCCAACAGAAATACTCCAGGTGGACAACTTTAGCAATCAGGAGCTCTTCAGTTGCTCATAGCAAATCCCACCTTGGAGTTTATAAAGACGAATAGGTAGAAAAGCCACACTAAGTAATTTACTACACTGCAGGTAGTCTACTGTGGCAGTAAGAGGCTGTGGGGGTGACTTTCTTAGGAAAGGGAGGTTATAAAGAAAGCATGGAGAAAAATTATTGCCCTTGTCAAGGAACTACATAATGGAATAGTCCATGAAAAAGGGCCTTAGAAGAATCCAAAATTAGTCTCATGAGAAAGCCAACACATTTGGCCGTCTACATGCACAGGGCACCAACTGCTAGTATTACATGGCAACGGATCCCAAGACTTTGGCCATTTTTCTGATCCCCATCCTTCCTTCTTGACCTCAGAAAACTGAAAGAGTGTGAGAGGAGGTTAAAGGATAAGGGAGGAACAGATATCCCTTCCTTCCCATGACAGGTCCCCAAGCTATATGTCAGACTTGAACTGCGGAGGGAGCACACAGGATTTGAATCGGGTGTGAAATTTAAGTTTTATATTGGACTAGGCTGGGCTTTTCAATATTTGAAAGTGGAACTTTAGGACCAAAGAAAAACTTACTTTTAAAACTTAAGGTGACCAGAAAGCTATAGGGACTTACTAAGGTATCACTGAGGGAATGTGTGACTAAGAAGGGCAAGGGGGTGGGGCTTGTCACAGGAATGGGAGGGGAGGAAAGTTTCTTATGGTTGGTGATGGTAATCAGGGTGTGAAATCAAATGTGCATGCACTGTTGAATGTAAAACAAATGTGTTTTGTAAATTTGCTCCCAAAGCACAATAAAATTAAAAAAAAAAAAAAAAGTGTCCCTGAGGGGCAGGGAAGGGAGATTGGACTGAGTATCCACTTCCTTGTGGCTTATTGGAAAGAATAATAGCATGAGAGCTGAGAGGTATTGGTACCTTCCTTTTAACTCTCCTAGTATCGTCCTCTGGTAGTGTAGTGCATAAGGCACTTGACTGCTAACCAGAAGGCTAGTGGTTCAAACCCACCAACCACTCCTTGGAAGGAAGATGGGGCAATCTACTTCCGTAGTGATACTGCCTCGAAAACCCAAGGAGGGGTCACTATGAGTCGGGTCTGACTTGACAGCACATAACAACAACAACAACACTATTGTCCTAGTCTCTCTTCTCTTTGCCTTTCTCCAAAGTTACACGTCTTTCAAAATTTAAAGATAGTTAAAATCATTTAAAGATAATCAAAATTTAATAGATAAGTACCCCAAATAGCTTTTCTTTCCATGAAGAGACCAGGGAACAGGAAATCTCCACCTTTGGATTCTGGAGAAGTGAAGGACACTGGAGACAGGTCTTTTTGTCCAGAGAAGCTTGGTTTATAGACCAGAGAGGGGAAACACGCACAAGGGAGACTCCAGGGAAAAACGAAAACAAGGTAACGAACTCTCAGGGATCCACCTCTAAACCTCAGAGTTTAGGACACAGACTGGCCTCTGGGGGTCCTGCAATCACCAATCCCTGGGCTGGTCAGGCCTTGACTAGAAAAGGGACTTGTGTTTGAGATGACAAGCTCTTATCTCTCTTTCCTGTCCTATCTCTCTCGCCCACCAGCAAAAACCAAACAAAAAAACCCAAACTCACTGCCGTTGGGTGGGATCTGACTCATAGTGGGCCATCCTTGGGTTTCCAAGGCTGTATCACTGCAGAAGTAGATTGTCCCATCTTCCTTCTGAGGAGTGGCTGGTGGGTTTGAACCACCAGCCTTCTAGTTAGCAGTCAAATGCCTTAGGTACTATGCTACCAGCTACCAGCCACCAGTTGTTGTTGTGTTGTTATTATGTGCTGTGGAGTTGGACCCAACAGTAATACCACACAGATTGTTCTGAGTCCCTGAAGCAGCTTCTACCTGGTTCAGAGCAGGGCTAAAGTCTGAAAGACTCACCTTTGAATGATGGTAAAATCTCAGAAAGGTAGTAGACTCTAGACCCAGCAGCTTTCCTTGTACCTATCAGGGGAGCAGGTGAGGACTAGGGGCTGCTCTTGCGTACTTTCCAGAGCTGGATTCCACCCCCATGCACCAGAGTTAGTAGAGTCAGGGTGCTGGGTTCACATGGGATATTAACTCTTTCTAGAGTCCCTTGAGATAACATCCCTGAAGAGTTTTTCTCAAGAAACACAGTAATTTTCACATTCCAGTTCCAATGATATAAACAGGGAATAGAGAAGTACCTCTGCTTTTGTTGTTGTTGTTTTTGTCTTAGGGTGCTGTTCCTGCTTGTGATTTCTTGTTTGTACCTTAGCTGATTACGTCTCTTTATAGCAAGTGAGTGGTTTGCAGTGTTTCTTATGATGGTGAACATTTTGAGAGTACCTTCTGTTTCAAGTCAATCTGACTCCTAGTGCCTATGTGAAAGAGTAAAACTGCCCCACAGGGTTTCCAAGGCTATAATCTTTGCAGAAGCAGACTGCTACACTTTTCTTCTGTGGAGTGATTGGAGGGTTCGAACCTCCAACCTTTTGGTTAACGGCCTGGCACTTAACTACTCTGCCACCAGGCTTCCTC